AGCTGGCAGCTGCTTGCTTCCCTTTCAGGCAGTCAGATTCATTAACATACCTCAGGACAGTTGCTTTGGTTTAACCTTCTTTCCCAGACTCAATGAGGGGCACTTGCAGCCTGGAAGCTGGTCTCCTCTCTTCCCCAACTCCCCTCACAAAGCCAGCTTTCCCTGTCCCCTGAGGACACATCAATTTTCCCCAGCCCACTATTCCAGACACAGCCGGGTCAATATATGACAAATAAACCCTGCCATGAGGCTTTCCTGGGGCACATCCCTTATTTCACTACGCAGGCAGTATAAAATAGAAGTCACTGCTAAGCACAGATACAGCCATAGCCTGGCGCCCAGGGACCTAGTCATATGATCAGACCCTTTCTGTTAGCTGGAAAACAATGCCAGTAAATTGCCAGCAGCACCGAGCACGATGCTAATTAATGGCAGAAGGAAGACAAGGCTGGTGGGTGTGATGCACATATAGGATTGCTCAAGGTGGGGGTGGGATTTAGGAGGTCTTTATATATAAGTGGAATTGAAAGCAGCTGAGCTGATGTGGTCTCTTCTCACAGCAGATGGGACTAGATACCCTAATGGTACCTTAAATGCTCCAAAGCCACTGCCACTCCACGTCCAGCACCAAAACGGAAATCTCTACCCTGCCCCGCAACACACATCTACCTCAATTCTTCTTTTTTCCCCTGCCTTTTCACTGCCGCTCGTTTCCCTATGCTTTACAATACGTGAGAAATCCTGGTATGGAAGAATTCAGAGGTCTTCAAAGAAAACTGCAAAGGGTTGCATGGCCCAGCCTAGACTCTGCTCTGGCCCACCCCAGCTGCAGCCCCACGGGCTATCCCCAGCTAATCAGAGCTGGCTGGGGGTGCTCAGAGCACGCTGGGAGTGCCCAAGCTGGTCTCCCTTAGATTCCCTCAGCACTTTCTGTGGGCAAAGGTGGGTTTTCACTCTGTCTGGAACTGATACGCAGAGCTGACAGCTGCTGCCCCCACCCCCAGGGGTGTCTGTATTTCAGTGAGCTTGGCGCAGTTTATGCCTCCATAAAGTGCTTTGAGGTAGAAGCACAAGAAACCGGAGTTCCTCAGCACGGACATGCCCATATTGGCTTCCTTCTCTTGTAACCAGACCTCCCTTTCCTAAATCCCACCCCCACCTTGAGCAATCCTATATGTGCATTACACCCACTGGTCTTGTCTTCCCTCTGCCATTAATTAGCATCGTGCACCATACTGCTGCCAATTTACTGGAATTGTTTTCTAGCTAACAGAAATATATAAGTGGAATTGAAAGCAGCTGAGTTGACGCGGTTTCTTCTCACAGCAGATGGGACTAGATACCCTAATGGTCCCTTTCCCCCTTATATATATAATTTTGTGTCTTAGGCCAAATTAGTTGTGAATTCTATCAACTGAGCAGAGCGCAGTTGTTCAAGTCTGTGTTGCACTACCACTGGGCAAGTATCCTACCTCTCAGACTCGTCAGCCTGGGACTTCAGATGCTCCCAAATCCATGGTGGGCATCCTATATGCAAACTCCAAGCCCAGAGGCCCTGGAGTTCAGATAGCCCCTAGTCTTGCTTGCCCCTAGCCAAAAGGCCGTAGGCCATGGTGCTGGGCTCACCTTCCTGTGAGCTGCCCTCCGTCTCCAAGGCTTGAAATATCTACTCATCTCTGGGCCATGGTGATTCTCGCACCTAGGGACTGGTGTCTGGCCTTGGATAGTTGCCACTTTTGAACTGGTATGAACAAGGAGTCCACAGATACTCCTACATCTGTGTAACTTACCCCAAGTCCAGGATAGCATTACCAGGGGAAGAACAAGAAGTCAGCCTATACTGGTGTGACTTACATCTTCCATCCCAGGATAGCCATTTGATCAGTGCAAGCGGGCTATGGCCTGCTCCCTACCCGGGTGCAGTGAGGTACTGTAATGGTGCATACTGGGAACAGCTACACTTGAATATCTACCTTGTATGTCTCCTCTAGACCCCATAATCAATACGGGTATACAAACCCAGTGAAGATTACACAGGTGCAAGCAGGCTGCCTGTTCAGGCTTTCACACAGCACCGCGCACTGTGTACGCTTGACACGGGACAATGAGAAACACACATACATAGACTTGTTGGGCTGGGGCCAACCCTGTAGTAACTTTGACCTAGTGGCCACTGAGCCAGGGCATACAGCTGGACCAATTCTTCAGTGGAGACTCCCTTCCAGTGACACAGGGGTTTCAAAGTGTGGCCTGGCCTGTGTCCTTGGCTATCACGCAGACAGTCAATGGTGGAAATGAACAGGACTATCCTTAGGGATCCACCAGAGAGACAGCGGAAACTTGGGGCTTTGAATAAAGACTTTGTGGGTGCAAGTCAGTGATGCTGTACCAGGGACAGATGTGTCTCAGTGCAAGTCTCTAGCTGTGCCCCAATCCCACCTGAAGTATGCTAGCCCACCACACACGAGGCTTCCAGGAGAGACCCCTTCCACTCAACCCTGCCACGCGGGTGACTAGCACAGCCCTCTCTCAACAGATCGCACGAGCTCTGGGAATGATCCTGCAGCCCCTGCTGTTTTCACAGCCAATGGTTGCTCTGTGATCCCCAGATCCAGGTAACCGCTTTCCTAGCCCTCCTTACTATGGGCTCACCAACTTCCAGGATTCTGTCACAAGCCCCTCTGATATTTGACGGCATTTTTCTCACAGTCCCAGCTCCTGGAGTCATGTGATTAGAGGAAACTCAGCTTTCCATTCAAGCACCAAGTCTGTAACCCTCTGAAACCTTGCAAACACAACCCCCAAGGCTCAGAAATCAAAAGGAAAATTAAAAACAAAGAGTTTCCATTGATTCAATTGACTTGAAATCCCTGTTTTAAAATCTCTGGTGTCTGGGACCAGACTCCTGATCTTCGATCTCTTGGCGTTGGCAATAACTCACTACCCTGACTCATTCCACTGCTTGCTCCTGGACCCTGCTGAGAGAGACACTTGCGTGTCTTCAGAGCTCTTCTTTGAGCTGAGCGAGCTGCAGAAATAATGTCCTTGAAGATGTTTCAGTGCCTGTCAAGCTCTTCCTTCCTTCACACTCTCTGGGGCTCATGCATTTCAGAAACCACCCCCAGTAACTATGTTATCTCCACAGCCACTACCACTCCTGGAAACCTGACCTTGGGTCTGAAGCTGCTTCTCCTGCCAAGCCTGCTGTGCTGATCTGTTCAACTCTACCCGAGCAGCGTGATCTCAGAGCATTATAAACTGCAGAGTGGACTCAGATTGCTGCGACGACCATCCCAGCTTTCCACCACGTCCCGCTGCAGCGCTACCCCTGTGGGCTGGATGTGGCCATGTAGGCCAGTCCCTTGGCAAAAGCCATGGTTCATTCCCAGAGCAAGATTTTGGCTCCATCTCTGCTACTTAATTCTCATTCTTCTTGGGAACTAACACCCTCCCCTCAGGGAGATCCTTGCCTGCACATTTCTTTTTGTGCACTCAAATGTTTGCTCCTTCCAATTTTTTGCTCGCCTGTAGTTGCTGGAGACAAGTAAACTCTCCCCCGCACCAGCCCCAATGTTGCTTCACTCTTTGGCCTGGATGTTCACAGGATTTTTACAAGGGTGAAGAAACACAGCTGGGCTGTTCTCCAAGCAGCTTATTTTTCCAGACTAGATGATCCCAGTGAGAGGATTTCTCTTCATTGAGGCTATTTGGCCAAATTCCCTGTTTCTTTACAGTCTCAGGTTTCAAAGCCTGCTAAGTTTGAGGGAGAGATTTCTTTGTTTGCTCCTCTCCCCACCCTGCTGCTGCTCTGGGGCTTTAAAAGCCAAAGGGAGGGGGAATGGGGATGACCCCTGGTCTGTACTTCTTTCTGACATATCCAGGCTTCCCCCACTCCCGGCTCCACTTGAAGCTGTTTCCTCAGCAAAACCCCAGCTCACAGCCTTCTGCCTGCAACAGCCGGGGCTCAACTTTACTGAGTAATCAAAATAAAAGCCGTTTTGCGCAAAGCCAGGCCCTTGGCTGGCTTGAGTCAGCCCGTGCCCATCGCGGGTCACTAGGTTTTGTGGTGGAGCAACACTGACAGCCCGGCTGCACAGCTCTCCGGGAGCCAGCAGTAACCCCAGGGCATCCCAGCCTGGGAGGAGCGACCTTGTGGCCAAATGAACCCTTAGCAGCTGCTCCCACTGGCTCTGCACTGTCTGCTCCCAGGGTATTTCCTAAGAGCCGTTTATCTGGAGGTTTGCTGGAAGCCACCAACACCCCCCATCCAGCTTCCATAGGTCTGATCCAAAGTCCATCAAGAGCCTGTCCATCAACTTTCATGGATCCTGGATGAAACCCACTGAGCTGGATTCTGGGAGCTGCAGCGCGCCCGTGGTCCCCACTGAAGCCCCTCGCACTTTCCAGGAGGTGCTCAGCTCTTTGCAAGATGCAACTCTGATGACAAAAAGCCACCGGCCTCGCACTGCAGCTCTGCACACTGCCCCCAGCCCTGAGGACCTCGCAACAAATCATTACACAGCACCAACCAACCTCCCAGCCCCAAGCGGCCACAGACTCTCCTCGACCCAGCCCTGGGAGTGCAGCAGGGGGGAACGGAGCAGCTGGCGGAGGCCTAGCGAACCTCGCTGGCAGAGAGTGGAGCTGGGGCTGTGACATGCTTCTACCTCTCTTGTTTCTCCAGAAGCTGGATGGAGCTGGGGACCACCAGCCCAGCATCACTGGCTTCCCCACAGAGAAGGTGAGGAGACCAAACTGGGGGATTCCCACCAGGGGCAGATGCCCCAGCCTTTCTGGGACAGAGCAGGACTCTGGGAAGGAGGAACGCCTGGCTTGACTTGAATTCGTGAGGACTTGCGAAAATGGCTCGGGGAGCTCAGGAGAGCAGTGAGGAGGTCAGCGAGAAGGAAGAGGCAGAAACAAGCCAGAAAGAGACAAAATGAACCCAACCCCCCTCCGTGCTGAGCTCGGGAATAGCTGGGGAAGGCTGAGCAACTCACTTGTGTGGGCGCGCGAGCAGCAGAGCAGCAGCGCGGTGAGGCACACGAGAGTCTGCATGGCGTGGGAACGCTGCCTCCCGCTCCGGCGTCGCGTCCTGGCTCCTCTTAGCCCGTGTCCAGGGGCAGCGGCCTGGCCCCAGAGAGCCTCGACGGGCTGCACGACTGCACGATGGGACTGTGGGCAGGCAGGCGGAGGAAGGGGGATCTGCTCCACTCCAGCCTCGGGGGAGTTCCTGAGCTGTCGGTGGCAGAGAAGGAGGCGTGGGAACGCTGCCTCCCGCTCCGGCGTCGCGTCCTGGCTCCTCTTAGCCCGTGTCCAGGGGCAGCGGCCTGGCCCCAGAGAGCCTCGACGGGCTGCACGACTGCACGATGGGACTGTGGGCAGGCAGGCGGAGGAAGGGGGATCTGCTCCACTCCAGCCTCGGGGGAGTTCCTGAGCTGTCGGTGGCAGAGAAGGAAGCAGGGACCTGGAGGCTGTGTCTAGTTGTGTCCCGGCTTCTCCACTGAGGGGATGTGCTGGAGGGGAACTCACAGCGCCTGAATGTGCGGCACTGACTCAACCCAGCGCTGATGACCCAGAGCGGCAGGAAATCAACTCCCTTTAGAGGAGGGGTTGCCAAGCGCTCGCCTGCCAAAAAGAGGGAGGAAATGCCATTTGTAGAGGCTCCGAGCCTCTGCTGGAGGTCACGCACTGACAGCAATGGGTGGGGGCTGCGTCCTGAGACCGAAGGAGAGCTGGCCAGGATGCCGGGTGCTCACAGTCCTCCCTCCTCTCCTCAGGAGGGGGCTCCTAGACCATGGGTGGGTCCTGGAGGCGGCTCTGTTCCCCCCCACGCGCCTGCATTTGATTTTCTGCAGCCCAGTGAGCCACATATCATCCCCTGGCATCACTCTATCCTAAAGATCATCTGTAGGGGCCCCAGGGTGGGAGACTATGCATGGAGCTGGGGCTGGGACTGGGGCATGCACCTCAAGGGCTGCAGGAAGTATGTGGACACTGCCTCATCCTCAGGAAGGAACGTGCCTTAGTGGTTGGTGCACAGCACTGGGAGTCCATGGCTGGCATCTCGGGGACCTTTGGCTAGTCATTGCACCCCTCTGTGCCTCCATTTCCCTCTCTGTAAAATGGGCAGAACTGTCTCCAAAGCCTCCTTTCAGGGAATCTGGAGGGAGGAAGGATACAAGACTTACAGTCAGTAGCCAGTCTCCAGTGCTTTGGATGGCAGGGGACAGAGGGGGGAGAAGTGTCACTCACAGCGCCACGGAGGGAAGCCAGGTGGGAACTGCATGTGTGGGAGGCCAAACAGAGACATAAGACCTGAACAACACAGGTCTGACAACACAGGTCTCATGCTGCCAAAGGATAAGAAGTACATAGATGGAAGAAACAGTAGATGTCAAGGCATGTAAATGAGGAGATGCTATGCTAGTTTGGACATGTGTTATGTAGTTTCATAGTAGTTTGGGGTCAGAAGGGATCATCTAGTCTGACCCCCCACCACTGGCAGGAGCACACGCTGGGATCACACAACCCCAGACAGGTAAAGTGAGGTAAACTGTTATGTTTTTAATGTGGAGAGGGGAGGATGTTGATTTTAATGAAAAAAACCCAACCAAACAGGTCTCATAGGTCTGACAACACAGAATCTGAAGCACTGCAGCCGCTCAACAGCTCCAGTCAGCCCAGAGAGATCTTGGGGACTACGGTGCTACGGAGACAAAGCGGGGACAGCATCACGTGGACCTTTATTGCAGGCCTCCCTACATTGCCACCAGGAACATGCACAGACTTCCAGCGTACTCCACCTTGGCCTTCGCCCAGCAGCACCGCAGGTGAGAGGTAGTGGGAGGTGGTTGTTAATCCAGGCACCGTGCAGAAGTCTAAGGGCTGGTTCACACCAAAGTTACAATTGGAGCAAGGAGCCCGTGGCCCTGGCTCGGACGTGGATGGGCTCTTAGCTGTGAGCTGCGACTGGACACAACAGGGGCCTCAATGTGGTTCAGGAGGGTCCCTTCTAGCCTTATGTGTGGAGCCAGTTTGCAGCCAGGTTAGGAGACAAACGTTTCACAGGGGCCTCATTCTCTGGTTACTTGCTATCCAAGGACAGGGCTAAAGACCTGCTGTTGACAGAACAACAGGACTGCACGGAGCTGGGAGCCAAGGGGCCGCAGCGGCAGAGGGGAACGGGTGATCATTCCCATGGCCACAGCACTTCAGCCCAGGCAGACCAGGCTCCTGGGGCTCAGACAGACCCTTCAGAATCAGAGATGGACCTGCGGAAAAAGGCAGGTCCATCTGGGTTTCTCCCCAGGGTTTGGCTCCTGAATCCAGAGTGCCGTCAAGATAACGGGACAGCACCTGCATGCTGGCAACGTGGAAGGGCTGTGGGTGTTTGGAAAGAGCCCACAGCAGTGTCCAGGACACCATGGAAGAGGGGCTGTTTTGAGATCAGCAACCAATTTGCCTCTCAGCTAGTTACAGACTGCTCTTGCTCCCTGCTGCTCTCAAGCACCTGGTCCCTTGCTCTCCCAGACTGCAGGGCTCCTCTCAGCTGCTCCCCCACAGCCCCCTGGCATCCCAGGTCCCTGATGGGGGAAACAAGTACTGGGAAGAACAAGGGTCGAAGGCAGGCCTCCAAAGCCACTCCTGCTCCATTGCCACCTCAGTGGGAAACGGGGACACAGAGGACTGGCTTGGTTCCCTTTCTTGCTTGCACTCAGGCACGCACCAGGGCAGTACCTGCCACCCCAGGCTTGGGGGCCAGGTCTCCCATGCCTTCAAACAAATGAACAGGTGGCACCAGGGATCAAAGGCAGGAGCAAATGTTTATCCCACTGCTTCTGCATGGCAGCAGCCATTGAATGGTGCAGAAGATGTTTAGGTAGCTGTGGGGCAGGAGGAGGTGTCACAAGGATGCCAAGAGCCAAGTGAATGCCTCACACATAGGCTTCAGGTTGGAAGGAGGTGGCCAGAAAGCTACAGCAACAGCCGCAGGGTTGGCCAGGCAGATGGCAAGCAACACAGTGCTCATACAGCCAGCAAGGCGCCCAGCAAGAGCAAGGGGGCAAAGAGGCGCAAGAGTCCAGCTCCAAGGGGAGAAGGTGGGGAAGGCCGATCCCCTGCCCTCTCTCACAGGCCCCCCACCCGGCCCCTCCAGGGCTTGAATGCCACTGCTGGCGCCTTCCCTTCCAGTCAAATCCTCCCTCTAGAGCACATGCTCTTGGCCAAGCCTCGCCCACAGAGCCCTCCTCCAGCAGACGCCTGGGCTGCGTCCAGTCTGGCCCTTCATCCGGTGCCTTACACGTCTGCCTTGGAGCGTGTCTCTCTCCACGCCGCATGCTGGATGAGACGCATTCCTGACTGGTCGGTTCCCATTGACTCCAGGAGATCAAAGAGGAACATGACCTGAAAGGCCTTGCCTCCTGGAATAGCTGTATATACAGCTGGCCCTTTGCATTTCCCCCTCTGTTATCTTTGGCCTGGCCGGGGCTAGAGGCAGAGATCGATGGATTGATCTGTCTTCAAGGTGGGTGGGAAGTGCCCTGCTGACAACCCGCATATTTGTGGTAACACATTTCTTCCTGGCCAGTCGCCCCAATGGCAGGAAAGAACGAGCCTTAGCCTCTTGGCGTAGGGAGAGGACAACAGGATGGAACGAAGTGTGCGGAGGTCCTGGTGCCATTGTTTGCTGTTCCCCGAGACGTGTAGGCTCAGCCGCGGCTCCTTCAACCGACAGTTCCTCCCCGCGAGGAGCACAGAAGGTGCAGAACCTCTGGCAGGACCAGGCTCAATGTCCTGGCAGAGGTGTCTTCAGAGTCAGGGGCAGCCTATCCCCCAGCTCCCAGCCCTGGGCCACATTAGCACATGATTCTTATCTCTCTCACCTTTTTCTTTTTTGAAATTAAAATTATATATGTATGTGAGAGAGTTATATACACATATACACCCCCCACACACCCTCCGTTATAAACTTTCCATCACACATCTTAAAACTGCATTAAGAAACCTGCACTTTCCGTTACAACAAATGCACCCACTCCCCTGCACACCTACCCTCCACCCTCACCTACCCCAATCACACTCCTATGTAAACCCCAAATTGGGGTTTGGGCTATTCTCAGTTCATTCGCTGTCCTTATCACTGTCACTTCTGCTGCTGCTAATCCTGTTGCAGTCCTTCTTGCTGTCTCCAGGTCCAGCTGCATCTCTGTCCCCTTCGTTCTCTCTGTCCACTTTCCCTCCTGAGGGGTCTTTGAACAACCAGTGCCAGGTGTCGCTTTTCCAGATGAAGTTGGCTGCATCTTCTCCATCCTCACTCACCAATTTCTGGCAGTAGGACTAAAGTTCGCTCAGAAACATTTTAACGCAGTCTGTTTCCTTGAGCTCGGCGTGCCTGTATAACAGGAGGTTCCTGCATTGCCACAGGGCGCTCCTGACACAGGACACAAACTGGTGGAAATGCGTTGTCTGGGACCCCTGCTGCTCAGTCAGGTGTCCGCACATCGCCGCCTCCCTTGTCATCAGCCTGACCCGTCACTCTTTCAAGGAGCTGGCTTCCCTTTTTCCACACACCCTTGGTATACGGGCAGTACCATAGGGAATAATAGCACTGCCCTCCCATTTCACAGGTGGGGATACTGAGGCAGAAAGCACTTAATTGCTTTGCTCAAGGTCACAAAGTCTGTAGCAGGGGAGGAAATTGAACTAGGATGCCCCGAGACCCAGGGTAGCACTATTACCACTGGGCCGTCCGCTCCTCCCTGCTTAAATGGGCTTGGCCCTTGAAGGGGGAGGAAAGGACTAATTCTCCTCTCCTTCTAATTTTACTCCCATTGAATTCTAGCTTCACTGGAGTTATTCCAGATGACACTAGCGTGCAAGACTTGTGTCTACTCTGTGCAAGTGTAAGTCTACCCAGCTCTGCTCCCTCTCATCTCCTCACTTATCCCCTTTCACTGGCTGATGTAACTAATCAGCTCCAGAGCCACCTACTTCAGCACCAGTTACAGCACAAGGGAAGCTGATGGAGTGCTTGCCCTTGGTCAGTAGGTCTGCCTGCAGGCTGGTGCTGCCTCCTGCTGGAGTGGGTCACACAGCAAACTGGGCCACACTGCCCATGGATGCTGCTTAAGTCCAAAGGCAGATAAGATTCTTTGGATAAATCCGATATCTTTTATTAGACCAACTCAAATAGTTCGAAAAATTCTTCTTAGCAAGATTTCAGAGTCTTCCTCAGACTGACGAAGGGTGTTTATGCCTGAAATCTTGCTAAGAAGAATTTTCCATTTGAGTCGGTCTAATAAAAGATATTGGATTTACCCAAAGAGACTTGTCTGCCTATGTCCTTAGACCAACACAGCTACGACCTACACTGCTGAAGTCCAAAGGCACAGAGGACTGGAGGAGCAAGCATAGGTCTAGTCCTTGAGGTCATGAGATCCTGTGGTCTCATTTCAGCTCTACCACTGACTTGCCACGTTCCTCCTGCCCCTGGGAACCTTCTGAAGTGGATGTTAATGAGGTGTCCTGAGAGGGTGGCCAAAAAGTGAAAGCTGCAGTCACATTTAAGGGACTGTTAGTACCCAAACAGCGATGGAGAACAGGTCTGCATGCATTTGGCACCACTCTTGTATTTGATATAATCAGTTTTGCCATTGACCTTAATCAGGTCCATGCAACCCATGATCTCCTTGGGCCAGAGGGTTTCTCCTACTTGCTGCTGTGTTCCTCTGGCCCCTTACTGCTGTGTGCTAAATACATTGGGCTACAGGCATTTCCTTGAAACAAAAGGAATAAGTTGGTGGGTATAGGGATGTCAATGAGTTGAACCGAAACTGCCTCCTACTTGACTTCTCTGCAAAAGCTCCAGTGGAAAGGGATCAGCTGATGTGGAAGTCAGGCCACATAATCCTGAGGGAAAAAAATGTGACTTTTAATGACATCTTGAGCAGCCCAATCATTTAATCAGAGGGGTCAGGTAGAGGCCAGAGGTGGTGTTAATGTCTCTGCATTACACTGTGTTCTTATACTAAACTTTGGGTTCCTGGAGTGTGACGCCAAATATCTATTGCGCAAAGTAGAAGGGATACAAGAAAGGCTCCCACAGGGCAGGGCAGGGCAGGGCATGTTTCACACACACACACACACACACACACACACACACACGATGATCCCCTGTATAAGTGTACACAGCCATGCAATGTCCTATCATACACAAAGTGACCACTTGCCAAAGCACTGGGGCACAAAGTGATGTCAGTCAACCTGAAGAGCTTCTGCATGACCTACTGAGCCAAGCTGGTATCTTTAAGGGGGCTAAACCCAGTCTCTTATTTTGTCTAAACTACAGAAAACTTAAGTGGCTGAGGCCTGACTTCCTTCTAGCTCAGAGGCGGGCAATTATTTCGGGTGGAGGGCTGCTTACTGAGTTTTGGCAAGCCACCAAGGGCCGCATGACAGGCAGCCAGGGGCAGATAAATATTAATTTTCTAAATTTTTTAAGGGCCCCATGGGCCAGGAAGAATGGCCCGGCAGGCTGCATTTTGCCCACCCCTGTTCTAGCTCCTTGCATAGACCCAATAGCTGTAGGAAGTACATATGAAACATCTTGATTGGGAAGTGTTTCAGGCTAAGCAGGCTTTCTAATGTCTGATTTCTGGCAATCAGATGCCCAAGTCTACGGTCTGTGCACTCTACCAGGCGTGCTGGCAGGCTTGTTCCCATAAGGTCTCCTCATGTCTCGGAGCCTGTATGTTCTAGCCATTTCTTCTAACACTGGTTCCAGGAACCAGTGGGGTTTGTGTTTACAGAGACTCTCTCCGATAACAAGGGTAGAGTGGAAAACAAATCCCCTGGGGTTGCACACACGTAACTTTAACCCTGACATTTAGGCTTTAAAAAAAAACAAAAAACCCTCTCTTCTAGCTATATCAACATCACCCAGTCCCAATACACTGATCACTTCTGAGAGCTCTTCTCAAAGTAATAACCAGGTTCTGCTTCAGCACTGAGAGGGGAGATCTATAGACAGGCCAGTTTGGTAAGGCTTTTTGTATATCCACTCCCACCACTGAGGAGTGTTTTTTAGTGTGCCCATTTACAGGGACTCGATGGATAGCCACATCAGTGCCAGGAGAAAACCCAGAGTTAATGCTGACCATGCAGTTTGAAGTGATATAAATGCTCTGGCTACTGTGGATTAGAACAAAACCTTCCCAGGGGGCCCACTAGCCCACATCTGCACACTGCCTCATTCCTTCCACATTTTGCTCTAGCCCAGTGGCTTGCAAGCTTTGTAGATTCACCCCTTGGAAAATGCCAGCTCTGAGTTTTCGCTCAGTTTTTATTATGGAAAACTAGAGCAATTCTTCCGTTGCAAAGAACTCAGACAGACCATAACGGCAGAACAGTTTTGACGCTATGCATTCCTATTTGAAATCTCTGGTTTTACCTTATAAATCATGTGTAGGCACTTGCACACGTAACAGTGCTAATATTACACAGCACCCCACAGCGTCCTCAAAAGGATTTCATAGCACCCCAGGGTCCTGCAGTATTCTGGGTAAGAATTGTTGCTCTAGCCACCGTCACAGATGGGTGCTAGATAAGAAGGACCATAGGCCTCCCCTAGTCAGGCAGTTTCCACAAGTCCCCTCCAAATTGTGCAGATGACACAATACCCCCAAGTGCAATGCACTCCCCTCCTACAGCTGCACACTTCAATGCAGTATTAAGCATCTATGCAATAAAGCGGAGAGCAATCTGCAGCAAGAGCATGCTGCCACCTCCTGGCCAGCTCTGAAAAAGCAATGGGGACAGGCATAGGGCTCCAGAGATGGGTAAGTCTCTTGGGATGGGGAGTGGTAGTGATTTCCAGTGGCATAGGCCAGTAGTTCTCAACCTTTTTTGTACCAGGACCCATTTGTAAACATCAATGGCCAGTCCTGACTTAGTGCCCCTCCCAACACGATGCCAGTGTGTGGGGCATGGGGGGGTCCCAAGCAGCCCCTTGCAGGCTGGAACTCTGCCAGCCTTCAAGGGAAAAGCCACGGTTTCCCACATTTTTCTCTTTAAAGGAGAATCCATTTTAAAGTTCGTTAATCTGTTTTTAAAGTTTGTTCACAATCCTTTCGTATATTCTTGTGACCCACAGGCTGCGAAATGCTGGCATAGGCACTGCTGAGCTGAGCCTTCTGCATAGTCAGAGGGGACACATGCCTGCTTTCTGCCCCCTGTTGAGGTCTTTGACTGGGAAGTGCCACAGCCAGGGGCTGTACAGTGCTACTCCTGACTGTGAAACCTTGTGTAATGTAGAAGGTAGGGTAGATTTGCACCTTACAGACTAACCAAAGTAGATATAGTTACAGCACAAGCTTTCATGAGTGGAGGCTTGTGACATGCCCACACTCTGGCCGAGGCATGCTACTGAAGTGACCTGTGCTGTTTGGAGGAAACAGCTGTCCACAACCTCCAGCCAGAAGATTTGCACTCACTACAAACCCTGCAGAAGCCCAGCAACAGCACCACAGCAAAGAATATTTCTTCCTTTCACTGCCACCTTTTCCCTGGAGGCTGTGGTGGGGCAAGACCCGTTTTCAAGGAAGTGCCCAAAGAAAAGGCCATGGGGTCCCATAGTGCCAGGGGATTTTAGCAGAGACGGGAACCGGAATATAAGTGCGACCTAGAAATCCATATTCAGAGGATGTGGGATATGAACTCAGAGACAGGGCAGTCCCAGGTGTCTGGGGCTGGCAGTGACCAGAAAGCCTGGTGTAGGAGGAAGAGCTAAGTTTTGTACAGCATTGAGTTCCCTACAGATGCAGCTAGGCACCAAGTGGGATTTTTAAAGGACTCTGAAAATCCCAGTAAGAGCCTTTAAAAATATCCAGCCCGAGACAGCGGCTGTGTTTGTGGAAGCTCCCCCAGAGCGGGGAGGAATACCAGGGCCAGGAGCAGCCTGACCCTATGCTGAAGCTGAGGGCCTGGGCAGTGCTCCCATACCTGGGGAGCAGCAAAGCCATACTACCAGCTTCCTAGGGCTAGATCTTCCCAGGCAGGCCCCACAGAGCACAGCCTGCCCTACAGGGCTGGTGGTGACCATACCTTTTTGCCTTTGGCTACGAGACTGCAGTCCTGTCTGCTCCCATCTTGCTGCTCTGGTTCCAGCTGCTGGCTCTCCATGCCGAGGCCCCATGCAGAGAATTTCCCGGAGAAACACTGCTTTTGTTTCCCAGCAGCTTTCTAGGCACTCCGGTTCCCCTGCCTCCTTGACTGCAGTGTTGTTTGGGCTCTGGAGGGCTGCCTTCCTCCCTGCGGAGGGAGCTGGCAGGTTAGGGAAAGGATAAACAGCCCAAGACTCCAGGTTTCCCAAGGGGGGGCAAAAAAATTGTTAATGGAAGAAATACCTCACCCAGGCTCCTTGCTCAGCCCTTTCTCTGGAGAGTCTGACAATGCAGCTGCCTCTGTGGAAATCCAGCTGCCTGTTCCCCCCCAGGGCCCAGCTCCCAGAGCAATCCCAGTAACAGCAAGCACCTGTGCTGGGCAGGAGCAGGGCACTGTTAACTCTTCCTGCACCAGTGCCCACCCAGCCTCCCCCATCCCCACAGTGACACAGAGGTTCAGCAAAGTTGCTTGACTCAGCAGCAGCACAGCAGAGGAAACTGAGGCACAGGCTGGGGAAGCAGCTTGCTCCAGGTCACCAGTGTCAGAGCCCGAGCAGAAGCCAGCACCTCTTGATTGCTCTGACCACTTCATTGCTGGGGGGCAGAGGAGGGCTGGTTCTGGGGGCTTCTGTGTGAGGCAGGAGGTTGGAGTGGGTGGACCAGGTTCCCCATCCGCTACTCTTGGCTGACTCCCCTAGCTGCAACAGACCAGGCTCTTCATCTACTTCCATCCCTTTGCACAAGCTCCACCGCGGTGACAGCAGGACACTGTGCAACATCCTTCCAAAAGCCCAGGCCTGCAGACTGTCACCTGCCCCTGGCTGCACAGTACCCTTGGGAGCACACGCTGCCTGGGACACTGGCCTCGCTCCCCCTGCCTCCGGCATCCATTGGCCACCTGCCCCACGGCAGCAGGCGCTGCCTTCGGTGGAATGTGCCCCCCCGCCGGACGGGCTACATCCTTCCCGCCCGGCATTCCAGACGCGTGCTGTGTCCGCCCGGGCCCGGGCAGCGCCCAGCCAGGGGTGATTTGCTTGTCAAGGCCCCACTTGCTGTTCCTGTTTATGAGCTGGGCTTGTCAGCCACGTATGCGGAGCCGGCTCTCTCGGAGCACGTTTGTAGTACTGGCTTCCTTCCTTGTCACTGTCTCAGCAGCTCCTGCTTCTTTCAGACAGCCTCCTTTCTCCCGACCTTGGCTTTGCTCAAGTCCCAGCGGCCTGCTGTCCCATCCTCTCTGTCCCAAGCAGGACCTAATCCAAAGCCCTTTAAAGTCCAAGGGAAGGGCCTGGCTGACTTCAATGGGCCACGGATCGGGCCAATGAAGCCCTCCCATTTGCACTCAGCCCTGGTTCATGACCGTTGCTGCTCAGCCACAGCAGCCCAGTGGACCAGCCTGGGAGTGGCAGCACAACATGGGGTGGGATGTGGCACCAACACAGCCAGCAACTGTGGGGTAGGAGGTGGCACCAATTCACCCCAGCCTTTTCTCTGGAGCGGGGTCTGTTTGGTGTGCTGGCCTACTCCTGGCTGGTGAATGCCCAGCATCTCATCAGCTCCCTTCCTTTACAGCAGGCTGATGTCAACGGCACAGGAGGATAGCAGCTCTATATAGGTTCTCCTAGTAACCTTGGCTCATGCTTGGGGTACAACCAAGACCCACCCCCCACGACGGCCCTCCATCCAAGCAAAGAAAACAAGGCCCATTATGGAGGGAGAAGGGTCTCTCTCTCGGGCCCCTGGAAGTGGTAAGGGGTGGAAGTGACCATCCTCTGCCCTTGCAGAGTCTCACTGGGCACAGGAAATCAAGCCATGCCACCAGGACAGCAAGCCTCAGTGTCCGTAGCAGCTGAAAGATGGTGCCACTTGCCAAATGGCATGTCCTGGCATTGTGCTGGGGGGAACCCACCATTACCAGCCCCTTCCCACCCCCAGGCAGAGTCAGGCTTCTTTCTGGTGGAAAAAAGACAGCGCCACAACCAGGGAGGATGGGAGGTCCCAATAACAGACACACGTCAGTGCTTTACTCCCCCAGCCCCAAACATAAAGGCACAGCTCACTCCTCAAACCACATTTCAGCTACTCTCTTTAATAACGACATGGTGCTGTACATTCGGGCAGCAGGTGCACCCTGCCACCATTAAGACGTGGGGGTTGGGAAGATTTTTTCTTCATAAGTACTCATGGTTTTCACCATTGTAAAAAAAAAACAAAAAACAACCAAAAAATAAAACCAGAGGAAGAGTTGGAACTAAAATGCATGAGAGGGAGAGGAAGACTGTGTGTGTTTGTGAGGGAGCATGAGAAACTCCTCTGTGTGTGTAAGAAAGGAGAGAGATAAGACTCTTGTGCACATGTATTTGACAGAGGGAATGTAAGAGAAACTCCTGGGTGTGTGAGAGTGGGGAGCATAAGAGAGTCTTGTGGGTCGGTGTCAGTAAAAAGCTCAGTAAGACAGAGACAGAAGGAGGCACAGTGTTTACTTCGGCGTGGTGCTGAGAGGAGCCAGTCACCCCACAGAGCACTCAGAAGTCATGAGAAGGGGGTGCAAAAGCAGGCAGAGAAGGGCTTTCAGTGGAGACTCACTTCAGCCCTGGAGACAGGGGGTGCATCAAAGCCTCAGGGCAACCAGGCTCCTGGTCAGACTGTTCCCTTGTGACTTAGGGCAGGGATTTTTCTGGCCCCTGCCCCTGCTGGCAGTGCTGGCAAGTCCTGGCTCCAGGCAGGCTGCACTGCAGTGGGCAGTGGAAGAGACAGGGGGGCAAAAGGATGCTCCACAGTGGAGTCTGACCTTGCCTCGGCATCCCAGCCATGGCTAACCGCTGTCTCCCCCATCTGTTGTGGGGAGCAGTGTGGCTTGAGGGCCAAGCAGTGTCTATGCTATTGCATGTCTGTGGACTGGGAGGGTCTCACTCAGACCTGGCTCCAGCGAGGATTTCTCTGTGCTTCATTCAGAAATCCATGACATGAAAGCTCATGCAAACTGCCTGCCTTGTCGGAGCATCCACCCCAGCCACACACGCCTGTCCCGTCCTGAAGCAGTTCCCTCTCCTCCTGCTGGTGCTGTTGAGTGGGATAAACAGGCTACTTCCTGCCCTTAATCAACCTCAGGGAGGGGTGGAAGGGGCTGGTGGGGGGGTAAAATATCTGGAAAGAAAAACTCATTTCCTGCTGCAGAAGAAAAAGATAAAGTCTGGGCTCATTCAAGTGAACTTTACTGCAGGGAGAGGGGAAGGAGCCAAACACAATGTCCTTGAAATTTCCTCCTCAGGGCTCTGTCCATAAAAACAGGATAAAGCCACTTCCGCTGTCTCTGCCATTGAGCTGGAATGGGAGACAGGGCGGGAGGAGATGCTCGCTGGCTCTCTGTGCTGGGGAGGGGGGGCCGTGGCTCAGCTCTGAGTACAGTGCAAGGGGGTCTGTAGTGCTCTCTGGGGGGAAGGAGAGTGAGAGGGGAGGCTGGGGGGAGGCAGGGCCCCTTCCCACTTTACTTCAAGGTGTCCAGATGAGTGCAGACCTGTTTGAAGACGTCGTCCACAGTGCCTTCTGCGTTCAGCTGCAGGATTGGAACAGGAGGGAGCCATTAGGGATCAGGCCTCAAAACAGACCCAGCTGGGCACTGCCCAGGCCTTGGGCCATCCGAATGCAGGCTAAGCCCCCTGCAACCGAATGCATGTCATAGTCACGGCCATGACAG